GTGCCAATTTCAAAATTCAAATTCAAATGTCTTAAAATTAAAGAGAGAGATGGAGGGAGTAATTAATGTAATGGACATAACAAACAGGTAGTAATGTTGCAATGGACAATAAGTGACCTTGCTTTTTTCAATTATCAAAAAAAAAAAAAAGCACATGCATGCTTTATGAAGATTCCCAAGTATCAACATCCTATGATTTTTTGTAGCTCCTTGGGTCAGGAATGGTCTCGCTTCTTTAAATTATTCAGAAGGAAATAGATTATCCCAAGTGATCTAGTTAGCTTGATTGACTTGTTGCTAATGAAGGGACACAGCTAATGTCAAATGTTTACAGTTGGTGCAGAGGGGAAAGAATCTAAGATGAAAAGTTCTGAGGATTTGTTAGTCATTACTATTTTTTGTTCTTGGAAGGGAGTTAATGTATATGATCTATGTAAGCTGAAAGGACATGAACATACTTGTATCTTGATGTATAGGGGACCACCACTGATATTTTTTGCTAATTAATATTATAAAATTTGCTTATCCAAAATATAAAAAAAAAAAAGATTGCAAGGTTCACAGTGTAAGAGCATGGATATACCACCCAGTCTGCCCCATCCTGAGCCGAAATTCAACTGACCTGATTCAACAGAGGTCACAATCCAGGTCAAGTCATGAATGTAGCATGTAGACTAGTGGCTGACAACTGGCCACCTATGTTGACATGGAATAACTGTTCAACAGGTTGAAGATTTTAGAGAATCTTCTGTTTAGAAAGATGGACAAATTATATAAAGGGATGTTTTCCAAATCAGAGGACTGTCGACCATTCTTCCATCAACTCCATTCTCTCTCCACCAATGTCCAGCCACTCAGACTTTCAGAGGTCCAACCACCACGGCTCCATACTTCTAAATCCCGATTCCCGACTCCAACATATAGAACAATTAAAATAGGGAAAAGCAACATTGCAATCTAATAAAAAAGGGTATGCTAGTTGAAAATTCACCACCAAAAAAAGTCAGCTGGAAGTGTTTGTGGTGATCTGATTATCTAAACTTTCAAAGATCATGCACCATTAGTGTAAAACATCAAAGATAAATGTGAAAATTGCAACAAAAAGTTGCACAAAAATAATGGACAATTATATAAAATTCTTCGCACGACAAACCGGATAATAATAAATACACAAAATGAAGGATGAAGTACACAAAATGAAAATGTGATAGTTACCTTTTTCAAAGCTAAGATGAACGGATCATTCTTTGGGAGAAATGGAGCCACACGGGGTGTCTGTGACATAAGATCCAACCAAGACTGAATATAAAAAGGATTGACAGCTAAACTACTACCATCGGCAAAGATCTGAATGTTCTTTCCTTGGTGCCCATAAATATGCCTCTGCACGTAATGGAAATGAAATAAGCATTTAAACCAAGAATGAAAGAGAGAAAATAAATGAAATATGACACTCTTCTACTTCTTTTCTTTCCCTTTTTGTTTGGGGTGGGGGGTCCGAGTTCCAGCCATGTCCTGTAGTACTAATTCCTTTTGCATTTCTTAAGCCTGCTTTTGTTCCAAAGTGCAAATTTCATTTGCAAATTTTTTCAAGCTAAAATTTCAGGAGGTAAAATAATGCAAGAAAAATCTGGGTTCTCTTCATATTCTACTTTACTTTGTTTGAACAGAAGTAAAACAGTAAGTAAAATGATGTGGTTTCCACTCTATATAGAAGAGAATGGAGGAAGGAGAGTAAAATTTTGGCTCACTTTTTGGTAATGCAGATTTTAATACCCCATGGAAAAGCAAATAATGTGGTCCCAGTGTAAATTTGAACCAGGTACAAAATTAAAACCCAGTCCACTTTTGAATTCGAAAAACTGCAGTGTAAGTAATTCATTCACATTAGACATTTTTTTATTGGAAACGGTAACTTCATCAATACAACTTAAGAATAACTTTCCAAAGTACAGCTGTCAACCCCTAAACAGGTGTTGAGCCCCCAGTAATCTTTCTTACAAAACTGCCCAGAACATTCTCTCCCTCAGTCCGTTGTTTAGCCAACGTGTCAGCTAAACCATTAGCTGATCTCCTTGTCCATTTGAAGCATGCACCAATCTCCCTTGTTGTGTTGAGGATTTCCCTTATGGGCTGTCTATAAATCCAGGCTCCCAACTTACCAGATTGCAGCCACTCAATCAACAATTTAGAGTCTCCCTCTATCTCAATGAGTCGCCCACTCCTATTGGTCCTGAAAACAAAGCCACAATTCTGCCATTTTCATCTCTGAATACTCCTATACCTGAAGCGCCCGGGTTACCTCTATTCACATTAGACCATTGTCATAGAAGTTATTGTTAAGTTTCTGATATGCCGTTATAACAGAATGTGATAGAACTTGTTTGCTTTTATTAACCAATCCTGTAAGACCTCCATTAGTTCCTCATTGTATATCAAGCTAAATGGCATTAGGTTCTATGCCAAAAAAATTAAAAAAAAAAAGTCTGACCAACAACTTGAGTTTTTTTGCCACATAACATGGCATTCCATGGCATAAACAGCCAAATCTACATGGGGTAATAAAACTTTTAGTTGCAATTGATTATATTTTAGGATTAGGAATAAAATGGTTTCATGAAAAATGTCCTGTATTAAGAAGGATGAGAGAACAACACTAGCAGGGGAGGAGGGGGATTCTATTCTCTGCTCCGGCTTGCTTGTTGGCACTCCACTAGAACCCCCGACCTAGCCACTATACTTGAAAAGGCACAAGATTGGGCTGAGGCACACACCTGTTCAGAGTAGCTATGCCTAGGTGCCTAAACATACCTTTTAATCATAAGTCAAACATCTATTTAGTTATAATGGTGACCAACTACATGTACTAAGTGGTGACTCCATTTACAGTTTCCTTCTCAAAAAGCAGAGTTTTTACCACTCTCCTTGTAATAGAACTGCTATGCTAGACACGGAAAAAAGTTTGAATCAACAATGACATGATTGCATTAGACATTCAATCGGAGCTAATGCAATATGTCCTAATCCGTGTTTTAAAAGCGCAAGGCACAAAAAAAAATAACAAAAAGCAAAGGACATTTTGTGCTCAAGACGCAACACGAGGCACAACCTTTTTAAAGCAAGTGCAAATTTAAAAAAGAAATAAAAAAGTGCAAAAAAAGTAAAAAAAAATAAAATAATATTAATTGAAAATGCAAGCTTTAATTTTAAACTAAATGTTTAAAAAGCCTATTATCTCAAATTAAAATACATAAACATAACATATTAAACATATTTGAAGTGAAATGCAAAAATAGCATACAAAACATGTTCAAGCATGTCTAACTTTCAATATCTTTATATTGATAAAAAAAAACTTTTCAATTTTTTTTCTCTCTCCCAATTGCATTATTTCAAATAACTAATATGCTGTAAACATCTTTCATTCCCAATCCTACGAGCTGCCTTGTACCAAGCCTCTTGAAGCAAGCTCAAACAAGTCCATGTTAGTATCTTTTTTTTTTGAAACTGTAAGGTAATGTATTTCATTAGAACCAAAAGGCCAAAATACAATGAAGCCCCTGTACAATGAGAGACTGAACAGAGGATATACAATTCTGCCCAATACAGCCAAATTCCCAAAACCAAAAAAAAAACGATTTTATATTTTTAATTATCTTTTAAAAATATCTTTTATTAGGAAGAAGGGATGAACACCACATGCTTAAAAACACAAAAAAGCGCAAAAAAATTAAAAAAAAAAGGCACACATTCGGGCTGAGGCACAAGGTGCACCAGGTGCACACCTTTGCAAAGGGGCTGCGCCTGGGCATGGACGAGTTGCAGGCCCTGAAATGTGCCTTGCCTATGCGCCTAGGCACACCTCAAGTGCACCTTTAAAATCACTGGTCCTAATAGAGAGTGGAAAAATGCAATACAGCCTAGTGATGGGGGACACTTATAGCTAATCAAGTTACTTCTATAAAGATGTATCTTGGGATATGTGATTATAGACCGGGTTTTGTTTATGAGAGGGTGTTGGAGAGTGTCTAATATGTTTCCCATCTGCAATTTTTATCAACTCTAGTATAGTCAGGTCAAGTAATTTGGGCCAGATCAGGAATTTTGGTGAGTCAGTTTTGTGGCCAAGCTTGCTTGTGGTTTATATTTTTAGTTGATTTTTCTTCTCTCTTGGAATCCGATCCATTTGAGTCCTGTTTCTTATTCGGTGAGTTTGTACTTTTCAATTGCCTCTTAAGTTTGTTTATCTATTTGAATTGCATCTAGGCTGGCTTTCTTTTCTTTTTAGTTTTGTTTTCTGCTTTTTTTTTGTGGGGGTGGGGGGGGGTCGTTAACGATTTTGTATGCTCTATTTCTGAGTTAGTTTAAAACTGTAAATATGATGCCCTATTCCATGGATGTATGCTAGCAAGCCAAATCACGAATGCGTGTTTTTCCTTTTTTTCTGGTTATTTTTCTGTTCTCCGAAAGCTAACAACTTCATATTATCCATGGATAACTACCATATCTCTCCCCCTGATTTTAAAGAACAGCAGAAGTGTAATAGTAAAAAGAGAACAAGCGATCCATTTTGATTAAACTTGTGTGCCATTTTTATCACATAAAAATGTCATAACACAAAGTATAGATCTTACCGCAAGACTCTCAGCAACTAACTTGACACTTCTCGAAACTGCAATCCCATTCACAAAATGCCTGTAGCAAAACCTACTTTCTCAGGGAAAGGAAATATAAAATAGAATTGAACTTTGAGCAATAAGTTAAAAAAAAATGGTTCAGTTTTGAAAATATTACCTGCTGTCAGACAGACCTCCAGTGCTTTCTAGTAATTCAGGTGCAACAGAAAGTTCAGAAAGTGTGACAGCAGTGACTCTTGACTTTGAAAACTGTTCATGCTCCCAAGCTACCTATATCAGGGTTAACAACTCTATAACATTATTTGGTTAGCAAATGCAAAATTTAGACATTGATAAAGAAATTTTTGCTTTATGTGCTTGTAGCATGTTAATAAAATTCTGTAATAAATACTAGGGTTTACAATTTATACATTATTCAAATTAGGGCAATAATAGTCCATTTTTCCTTTTCCTTTCTTTGTGCCCTTATAATATAATTAATAAATTGTTTTGGTCATTCATAAAAAACACACAGCTCAGCAGTTTATGTTTGTGGCATTTAAGAAGAAAGAAAGTATATCACTAGATTTTTTCCCTATTCTCCATATGTTCTTCTGGGTAAATTCCAAGCACCCCCCAATACTTTGCGAGAGCTTGCACCTCGCTCCTCTCCAAGGGTTGCTTGTTTTGTATGTATACATTTTTTAAAAAGAAAATTCATTAAATGAGAAGAAGGTACAAGGCATCACCCACAATTCAGCTACCAAGAAATAAAACATAAAGAAGAAAAAATGAACAGACAGAAACATATATTCTTGCATCATTTAACAAAGACTCAAAGAAGTCCAGAAACCATAACCAAAATCTTCTCTCTTCGAGTTTCTAAATTCTGGCAGAACCAACATTCATTCCAGCAGTCTTGAACCAATAACAGCACAAAGCCACACCTTTCTTGTTTTGTTGGAAAAGATTCTTCTATTTTTTTCTTTCCACACCTCCTAGCAGACAGCAAATGGAAACAACTCCACATAATTTTAGCTTTATTGTATGTATACTTTGACGTTTCTTTAATAAAATTTTTATTATTTATCAAAGAAGTGTAGAGAACACTGATGTGGGCCCCATGGCTGTGGTCCCCACTGTGTTCGTATGACAGCACATGTAACCTTTGTTAGTTATGTCAGTGTTAGTTGGTAGTTATCTTAGACAGCTTGTTATTTCAGTTTATTATTTGTTTTATTTGCCATGTAAGCATTAAGGGCAATTCTGC